CTCCCTGCCTCCCTCCCTCCTTTCCTCTCTCCCTCCCTCCCTCCCTCTCTCCCTGCCTGCCTGCCTTCCTTGCTGGCTCTCTGGTAACCCCTGACTCAAGATGAAGTGACTCACAGGTCTGTACCTGGCTGGTGGAGGACCCACCTTTGGGCTCCCTCATGGGCATCTGGCCAGGCTTCCATCTGCTGCCACACCATTGCCTGTTCCTACAAAGCCTGATTGTGAATGACAGCTGCACCAGGAGCAGCATGTGTGATGGACAGAAACAAAACGTCCTCTCTCCTCTCTCCTCCCAATGAGCCCAGTCAAAACCTTACCCCACCACCACTCCCCACCCCTGCTCATCCATGAATGGGTGGCCAGTTTATGTGACGAAAATGGGGAAGCTTGCCCTGGGTTCGCTCATAGGAAAGCCTGGGCTAGGATGATGCTGGAGGACCGCAGTTCCCTCTCCTCAGCTGCGCCTGCCCAAGGAGCAGTGTGGCCTCGTTCCAGAGGCAGCATCCATCTTGGGGCGATGAGCCCAGCTCTGCTGTTGGCCTAGGGCTCCACATCATCCTAGGTCATACCTTTCCCTGGAAGCCACTCTCTCATCCCATCGTTTCTGCAAATGCTGCTGTGTGCAGGTCCAAGCCGCCGCCTACATTTTCCTTTGCATTCACTGTGGCATGGCCCACAGAAGCATTTTTCACATTACTAAGCAGATTCCTTCCCATTAGGCCCTGGTCTAACCTAATCTGTCTCCCTTTTGTGTTCCAGTCCATTTCCTAAAATGAGGGGCGTCAGGCTGCTAGTGGGGAAGCTGGAGGCTCTCTCCTTTGACACCCATCAGAAGAGGTTCATCCTCACTTAGCCTGAAGGAGGCTGAGGGTGCAGCTGTACCTTGATTTTCATCTCTGGCCAGGAGGATAGTGATGGCTCTGACACCGTGAATACATCACCCCAGAGAAGCTGAGCTGAACTGAGGGTGTCTGAGGACAGAAGACGAGCTAGGGTACTTCCTTGGAGGGTGCTCGTGTTTTGTATTGAATGGCAAGGGCTCAGCAGTGGTAGGCGCTGACCGAAAGCCACCACACGTGGCCTGCTTATTGACCTGGGAATGAGAGGCAGGAGCCAGAGCTGTTTGGGTAAACAGGATTTACACTGTGCTGCTTTATGCTCTTGTAATTATCTGATGACCCAGTTGCTGTATATGGCAGACAGGACTTAGAAAGTAAGAGGGAAATTCTTCTGACTTGAAATTATGGAGCAATTTAGGACCACTTTCATAAATTATTTTCTAACTCTGGAAGGGCCAGAAATGACCTGACTCTAATTTATCAGTGCTGGGCCCACTTGAAAGCATACTAAGAGTCTGTATATAGCCATGCCCAGACACATACACCGAGTCAGCCCTCAGCTCCCGGTACAAGTGAACCTGGGCCAGGCAGTCTTTAAATTTAACTTGAATTTACTTTTAGCTTTCAGTATCCAGTTTTCACCGGGATCGTCCTTTGCAGCTGAGTAGGCAAAGGCTGTTGAGGATGGAAACTTCCCTGGTGCAGTCAGCATGCAGCTGGTTGGGCAGAAAAGCGATGGCCCAGGCAGTGAGAGGCAGAGCGGGCCTTACCCCTGGGCAGCTGACTGCAGAACCCAGGCTGATCACCACTGTGCTCTGGTGTTTTCCTGGTGCCCAGGATTTGGGTCATAATTTAGAAATTCAGATTTTGGGTTGGTTGATTTAAATGCATACTTAATTATTAAATATTACTCCTTGTGAGCCCAGGCTCTGTCCACAGATGATGCAACATTTCAAAACTTGTGAGGTTGTCTTTCCTTTGGAATTTGCAATTTTGTTGAGATATTTCACCCATTAAATCAAGAGCGACTAACACTTACTGAGCACTTACAATGTAACAGGCACCATTAAGAGTCACTCACAGGCATTAATATGCGTAGGCACATAGACCCGTGCCTGGCCCAGAGTGAGGCTGTATCACGTTTGCTCTCCTTATTCTTACGGATCCTATGAAACACGTAGTTACCCAGTTCACAGATGATGAAACTGAGGCACAGAGAGATTAAATAATTTACGCAAGGTTCCAGAGCCACCTAGTGAAGAGCTGTGATTTGAACTTAGGCTGTTTGGCTCCAGAGCTTGGTGCTTAACTACTACGTACTCAGAATCCTACACAGGACACAGTAAAGCTGAATGTTCTCAGAGTGTGGGGCTCAGAAAGGGAGAATGAGGAGCTGAGAGGTGGTGGTCAGCCCTCAAGGAAGAGGCGGCTATTGAGGAGGCTGGGACACAGGGTAGCCAGGTGGCAGGAGGCTGTGGGCCCCAGAAATAGTGCCCCTCTTGGCATCACACCAAGCACAGGCTGGCCTGCCGGGGTCCCGCCCCATGCCCCTTGGGTGGCTGGGGATTGGAGATCCATTATGAGGGGGATAAGAGCAGCCAGAATTCCTTCCCACTTCTCAGACTGTCGAGCTTCAAGTCTCTGTTGCCTTCACACTGCCAGTGTCTCAGATGTAACAGAAACCCATGTGATCAATTTTTGTGCAGCAATTTCCTGATGAAATAGCCTAGAACTTTCTTTTTTTTTTTTTTTTTTTTTTTTTTTGAGACGGAGTTTCACTCTTGTTGCCCAGGCTGGAGTGCAATGGCGCGATCTCGGCTCACCGCAACCTCCGTCTCCTGGGTTCAGGCAATTCTCCTGCCTCAGCCTCCTGAGTAGCTGGGATTACAGGCACGCGCCACCATGCCTAGCTAATTTTTTGTATTTTTAGTAGCGACGGGGTTTCACCATGTTGACCAGGATGGTCTCGATCTCTTGACCTCGTGATCCACCCTCCTCAGCCTCCCAAAGTGCTGGGATTACAGGCTTGAGCCACCGCGCCCGGCCCTAGAACTTTCTTTACCAAATTGGCAGAGAAAAGAGAGAATAACGTAGCTCAAAGTGAAAGTGATTTTAAGATAATGAGAACTGTCCAGGCATGGTGGCTCACACCTGTAATCCCAGAACTTTGGGAGGCTGAGGCAGGTGGGTTCATTGAGTTCAGGAGTCCAAGACCAGGGTGATGGGCAACATAGCAACACCCTGTTCTCTACAAAAAATGCAAAGATCGGCCAGGCATGGTGGCGTGTGACTGTAGTCCCAGCTACTCAGGAGGCTAAGGTGGGAAAACCACTTGAGCCTGGGAGGAGGGGGTTGCAGTAAGCTGGGATCACACCACTGCACCTCAGCCAGGGTAACAGAGTGAGACCCTGTCTCAAAATAATAGTAATAATAATAATCATAATAATAATAATGAGAAATTTTCATTAGTGGCAACACCAGCACATTTTGATGTCTAGAACTGACATAGGGAAGGAACATGGGCAAGACAGACATGCATATAATGGAGGCCAAGGGCTCACCGGAGCTTCTGGAATGAAAATCTTGCAGGAGAGATCCAAGGGGCATAAGTCACATGCCTTGGACAGAATCGGGAAAGAGTATGGCTGAGGCAGAACCAAATGAGAGACCAAAAGTAGGCATAATCTGTGCTTCCTGTCTGGGCTTTTGTTTGACTTTTTGAAAGTTAGCTTCCTGGGTTACCTTCTGATTTGTTCATAGATGCGGTGTCGCCTAATGAGCTGGACCATGCTAGGCTCTTAAGGCAGATATCCTATGCCCAGCCCCGCAGATTTGCCATATGCCTCAGTGTTCACTGCAGGAGGGACTGAATTCCTAACTGGGGTTATGAGAAGCAGCTTGGCAGGGGTGGGGAGTGCCTTGGATGTGAGAACTATGTGCATGGATAACCATACCTTCCCCAAAGAAAATAAGGCCAAGTGTTTATAAAGCTGGAGAAACCCACAGGCCAGAAAATACTTCTGTGTCATGCTGGCTCTCCAGGTACAAGCCCCTGCGAGAAGAAAGTACAAGACCTGAATGGAACCTGGAGCCCAGTCC